TCCTTCGTTCCCCTCCCTCTCTCCCTCCCCCTCTCTCCCTTCCCTCTCTCCCTCCTCCTCCCTTTCTCTCCCTTCCCATCTCTCCTTCTCTCCATCTCCCTCTCCCTCTCTCTCCCTCCCTCCCCCTCTCTCTCCCTCCCTCCCCCTTTCTCTCCCCTCCCCCTCTGTCCCCTCTCCCCCTCTCTTCCCCTCTTTCCTTCTCTCCTCCACTCTCTCTCCCCCCCTCCTCTCTTGCTGCCTCCCTCTGCCACACTCTTGCACCATGACGTCTGCTTCACCTCAAGCCCCAGGAATGGAGCCTGCTGTCCATGGACTAAGACTCTGAAACCATGGCCATCAAATAGACTTTTCTTCCCTAAAATTGTTCTGGAGGGTCATTTATTCACTGCAGTGAAGCAGCTGACTGAAACACTGTCACAGGGAGGTCACCACATTTTCCACAGGTGGGGAGATGGAGGTGAGCGGTTTTGAACAACTGCTGGCAAAACGAAGTCACTAGCTGGCCAACTGTGAGGACCGGCTGTGAGGGTCACAGCTGGGATGGTTGCACTGAGTCAGTAGTGGGCAGCGCCAGAGCACAGGGTTCTGGGCACAAGACCAGCTGCACCCGGAAGTTTACGCCTGTGATGCCCAGGGCAGTGTGGCTCAGTGGCTTGCCTGGCACAGGGCCACACAGGGCCCTGAGGTCAGTCCCAGAACAGGAAGGAAGGAAGGGAGAAAAGAGAAAAARTCACAGTTAGAAAAGACTGTGATGCCCTGGGAAGAGGCAGCGTGCACCATGGTGGTCACAGCCATCGGCAGCTCAGCACCTGAACTTCAGCCTCCACGTTGCACTGCCCCAGCCTCCAGGCAGAGCTGAGGACGCGTTTGATTTTATCTCCATCCGGCCATCCATCCATCCGTCCAACCATCCGTCCATCCATCCATCATCTACCCCATTTCTAACAWGAGAACTTTAGAAAAACCACAACTACAAACAATTAACAGCATCAATAAAATCAAAATTAACCATGAAATATCATCTAATACCCAKTCCCTGTTCAGTTGTCCATAGTTGTCTCAAAATTGTCTCTTTATAGGTGTCTGGTTCGAGTCACAAACCACAGACACCATCTGCACGCTTGGTATTTGGTCAASGTGCCTCTTAAGTTTCTTTTAATCTATGACAGTCACAGGTTTAAAAATTTTAATTATTAAAAAAGTATGAATAGATAATGTTCGCAGCAATGTCAACCCTTTCCTCCCCCAAACAGCACAAGACAGGGACATGGTGAAATGCTCCTTGTCTCCCCAGAAGCCAGGTTACCAGTGTGGGGAGTGGCTTCTAGAAACCCTGAGGCTCAGTACACCCAACAACCCCTGAGGCTAGTGTAGCTTGGGGGCAGGAGGGAGGAGGTGAGTTCAAACCCTGCTCTGACTCTTACTGAGAGTAAGTCTTGGGCACAGAACATAGTCCCTGTACCTTGGGTTGATGACAGTACCTGTCTCAAGGGGTCGTTGGGAGAATTAAATCAGATGAGGGTTTGAATACTTATTTGTCACCATGTACATTCCCCCGGGGCTTTTCTCCAAATGGCGGAGTGATGTACATTTTCTTTTATTTGGTCTGTTTTTCCATCTAACCCACATTTTGATGATAATTCCAATCTGTTCTTATGGATACRCCTTACTCATGGTGATGGACTAAGATTCCATTGCTGGTCACGTAAAGTATTTCCAAACTTTTGTTATTACAAAAAATGCTGCAATGATTACCTTTGTAATACTTCATTGGATTCAGATGCAAAAATGTTCGTAGGATAGACTCCTGGAAGTGAATTTGCTGTGAATGCATTTTCATGCTCTATAGATATCACCTGCACATTTGTTTGCTTGCAAACTCTCACTAGGTAATAAGCTCTGTGAGATAACAGGGACCTTGTCTATCTTGTTCTAAGCCTCCACTTCCAAGACCTAGAACAGTGCCTGGCATTTAGTAGGTGCTCAATAAATKAACCATTTAATGAGTGGTTGTAAAACCAAATTAAACTGACCTTCCCCAGATCATCTGCCAGTTTTGCTRATGGCAAGCATACTGATCCCTCACCCGATAAAGGAAGCCGTACATTTATAAGATATTTCATTTCCTCTGCAGACAAGAAAAACTTGCCCTGAACACAAAGTCTAGAAATAGATTTGGCGTGGTTTCTAAATGGAAAATATTTCTTGTAGCACCAGAAATTATTTTCCCACAGCTTTGTGCTACATCAAAATATTGAAGTTGACTGAAAATACCCCATTCTTTAATCTTGGTGTGGGCTAGGAATCAATTTTTTAATTTTTTCATAACAAAGAAAATATAAAAACCTCCTGATATTTGAATTCCCCCAAATATCCCCAAACTTAAAMTGTCATTACAAGTTAAGGGAGACTTTAAAAAAATTATTACTGAGAAATGTCATTAAAAGTTTGGTCATCAAACGATATGGTTTTGATTTACAAAGCCAGCACTTATTTCTTTAAGCAATKACATATGACCAAGCACAGAAAAAAAAGACTCCCTCAAATCTCCCCTTTGCCACTTTTTACAGGTGAATTCAATACAATGGCGCTGTCTTTAAATCTTCTTGTAAACTCCTCATAAATTAGTAAGAACATACTCATTAACAAGATTTTAGTGATATTAGAAATGCTCAAAAAATCATAAAAAAGAAGAGGGATTTAATTAAAAAATTTTTTTGTACCAGGGATTGAACCCCAGGGCACTAACCATTGAGTAACATCCCCAGCCCTATTTTGTATTTTATTTTAGAGACAGGGTCTCATTGAGCTGCTTAGCACCTCGCTTTTTCTGAGGCTGGCTTCGAGCTCTCGATCCTCCTGCCTCAGCCTCCCAAAGTACCAGGATGACAGGCATGTGCCACCGCGCCTGGCAAGGAGTTTAACTTCTAAGCTTACGCTTGCAGATACTGATCAGGGAATTCTAATTCTTGGCTTGCCTTCAGTTTTCCCAGACTTGCTCAAAGCCATCCCAGTGAGCATCCACGTCAATGTCATTCTCTTCTCCACCATCCTGACGGTTGTGACCATGGCGGGGACTGCCCTCTTCATGTACAATGCTTTTGGCAAACCCTTTGAGACCCTGCATGGACCCCTTGGGTTGTATCTTCTGAGTTTCATTTCAGGTAAGTAAAAAATCCTACCTCCAAATGCAACTATGCTTTTCAATGTGTCAAAAGGTATAAAGTTATATACATGAGAATGTTCACTGTCGTGTGATCCATGACAGCAAACGTGGTAGAAGCATGTGTTATGGTTGGCTATGAGGCATCCCTCAGTCTCCTGTTAATGCCTGACTATTCAGAAGCAAAATAATTAGAGGATAAGACTGTGACCTAATTGGTCCATCCTGATTTGAAGGGCAGATTGGGCAGTAACTGTAGGCAGGGCTGGAGGAGGGAGGGTCCCTGAGGCCTGAGGGGGGGGAATCTTCCCTCCAGCCCCTTCCCCCACCTCTACTTCCTGACCCTCCAGGAGCTGGCAGCTGTCCTCCCTGGGCCCTGCCACCAGACGCTCTGCCTCACGCAGGCCCAGAGCAGTGGATGGAGACCCGGAAACCTGAGTGTGTTGGTCACAGGGTCAAAAGGCCCACTGAAACATTGTCCAACACTGTGGAGTTCAGTGGAGACATTGCAGCAGTCTGTATGAATGACTGTGATACTGACATCATAAGTTTGAAGATGTGATCAAGAGAATAAATGCTAGTATTAAAATGTTAAGTAAGGGCTGGGCTGGGGCTCAATGGTGGAGCGTTGCCTCACACGTACCAGGCACCGGTTCCATCCTCAGCTCCACATGAAAATAAATAAATAAAATAAAGTCATTTTAAATGTTAAGTAAAAAAAAAAAAAAAAAAAAAAAAACAGAAAGATTTTATAAACATATAAACATTGTAAGCCCAGTTTGACTGTGTATCTATAATTGAGAGATGAACATATAAAAAAATGCACACTGAACTTCATATACGTCCGTGTGTATTGCCCATCTCTCGATATGTTCATGGGGCCTCCTTGTGTATGCCCGGGTGGGAGGGGACAGTCTAATTGATTGGTGTGTTTTTTTATCTTTGCTCACAGTTGTCACTATTTCTAACTATTCCGTGATGTGCTTTTATTTATTCAAAATCAGAAGAATGAATAAATGCCATCCGAAAGGGTAAGGGGCTGGTGTCTCCCCGCACATGCGTTGCCACAGCCTGATGTCAGGGRCACCTGGGCAGGGAGGAACTCCAGACCAGAAATTCACTCCCTGATAAACATGTGCTACTACATCTCCAGAGCTGGTGAATAGAAGGTGCAGGCCGCACCACAGCGTGCTTATGGAATATTAGTGAGGAGGAGAAGGAGATGAGAAAACGGAAATAAGATACCTAGTTCATATGTGGCTGTTCTTCCACAGGAGAGCTCTGATTTTTCCCCAGTCTAAACTTGCAAAACGGTTCAGCACTTGACCATATTCCCCAGAAGGAACTAATTTAATTGCTAATGTTATGCAGCAATGACAACTCCCACCAGCCAACAATCCCTGGTGGACGGGTCCTTCCTCCCTGAGGTTGCCCTTGACTGCCAGCCACCAATCAGCGGGCACGAGGCCCCTGCTCATCCTGACGCTACTCCCTTTGCCCAGGGTGCAACCCCAGCCACAGACCTGCATGGGTCCCATCTAGAAGGCCAAGCTCTGCAGTCCCCAGGGCTGGTTCACCTTAACGCACAGTGTCACCTCTTAGCCTCACCCATTCATATTCACCCATTCAAAGCAGGGTCTCTCCAGGGGGAGTCTGCTCAGGTTTCTCATGTCTGTCACAAGCACAGAGTAGTGTAAAGTGGTACAGAGTCTAAGGCCTGCTTATCTTTCTGTCTATGGCAGACACCCCTAGCATGAAGGTCTCACACAGAACAATTTGATGTTTGTTGACTTGAAAAGCTAAGTCCAGAAGGAGACATTCCCTGAGCCACTAGACGGTACAGGTTAGAGAACAGAATTCAGATGGGATGAGATTAGCAGAGCAGGTCCCAGAGACAGTGGGACCAGGAACCGGATGCAGTGTCTCCAAGGACAGCCAGGGCTTGCAGCCAGGGCAGAAGAGGCGCAGACCCTGGGTGTGACCAGGAGGCAAATCCAGGTGGAAGCATTGGGCTACTCCCCAGGGATTGGAGGCCAGGGACGGTCCTGGTTCTGCACCATGCAGAACTATGAGCAGATGGAGGGGGCTCTCCTTCCCTCTCCGTCTCCTCTCCCCCTGGTGCTCACGTTACTCAGAGTCTAACTGGAAGCAGTTGATAGGTGGGACTGGTCTGGGGAGGGTGGACCTGGTGTCCAGAGAAGAGCAGAGCCAAGCCGGCTGAAGCAGAGACACCACAGCTTGTCCACGGCACAGCCACRTAGTGCTCTGGCATCTGGATAAACTGCCCGACCGCCCCTGGGAGACAGGCTACTGGACAGTTCTGGTGGTTGATCAAAACCGACTAGCAGCACTGAGCAGCAAGATGCCTCAGAGATGCACAATTTTAGGTCTTTGCTTTTGGCAAAGTCTGATGCTAGGAGAACGGGACGCAGGGGCGCAGGGGGGAATCACCAGCCTTGTGCTCACCCTGTCTCATCATCTGGAGCTGGAAAGGCAAAGCAGGTGCTCAGTAGGGGTGGGAGTCAGGATGGGAGACAGGAGGGCCTGGAGGGAGGAGCCAGCTCAGCTCTGCTACCTGCCCAGGGTGAAGCCTGGGGCTTGGGGCCACAGAGCTCTTCCAGCCTTCCCACCTTATTTCTAAATACTGAAGTTTCCAGTACATTTGGAAAGACTGTGCATGGCCACCAAATGTGCCTGAGGGTCAGGTAGACCAATGGCTTGTGACTCCTGGAGCACAGAGCACCTCCTTCTCCTTAAGTCCACATATGGCCCCCAGAAGCCCGGCGCTGGGAAGTGTTCATCTGAAGTCATGATGTCACACGTCCCAGCTTCACACCCAAGGGCGGGGCTCACGCACTCACCTGACCTCCAGATGTGAGTGGACGGTCACACCCTGCAGGCCGGGACATTAGGGGCCTTATCTGAAGTGTGAGTACGGCTGTGTTCAATGGGGCTTCCTCCCTGCTTCCATCAGTGTTTTTTGTTGTTGTGACCAAAAGACCTGACAAGAACAATTTTGGAGGAGGAAAAGTTTATTTGGGGTTCGTGGTTTCAGAAATCTCAGTCCATGGTCAGCCGACCACATGGCTCTGGGCCCCAGGGAAAGGCCAACATCATGGCTGAAGGGTATGATGGAGAAAAGCAGGTCAGGAAGCAGAGAGAGAGCTCTGCTCACCAAGAACAAAATAGATGTCACCGAGTCACCCCCAGGACCCACCTCCTCCAGCCACAACCTACCTGCCTATAGTCACCACCCAGGTGATCCCTATAGAGGGTAAATGCACTCATGAGGTTAAGGCTTCAGAGCCAGCCATTCCACTCTAAGCTTCCTGCATGTCCACACGGGAGCTTTGGGGACACCTCACTTCTAGACTGTAGCATTCCCTCTTTGTCTCATCAGGGTGGCCCGGGTGGCCTTGCTCAGCCAGCAGAAGAAACCTGCTGCCTTCTCTCTTTCTCCTCCCACTCTTCCCCCACCCATGTTCCCTAAGCTCCCCCTTTCTTTGTGCCAGAGTTACGCTAGGACCATGCCTTCAGATGTCCACTTCCCTGCTGGACAGGGGCCCTGACATCCTGAGGCATGACGAAGATATGTGATAGGTGACTTGTCTCTTCAAACAATGTCTGGTAGAAGACGATGCTATKGCGTCAGAAATGGGGAAAGATGAAGGGATTCTAAAAATACCCTGAAAGTGGACCTAAAAGAGTTTTCAGGTAGCTGGCTCAGTAGATAGTGGTGGCACTGACCAGGATGGATGGGACAAGGGAGGAACAGACTCAGCATAAGCACGGTGCAGAGAGATGAGCTTCGCTAGAAATCAGATGTTCTTCCTGGGACGTGCAGAGCCTGAGATGCCGTGAGACGGCCAAGGGCAGGTGTGGAGGAGACGTTCAGCTCTGAGTCCAGAGCCCGGAGAAGAGGTCCAGATGAAAGACAAAAACCAGGCATTGTCGGGAGGTAGTTGTCATGTGGAGTGATGGGAACAGGTGCTGCCACATAGGGAGGGTGAACCTCTAGCCTGGGCAGAGCCAGAGGGATGTGGTTCAGAAGTACTGGTCACCAGTGGGTTTGGTCAAAGGTGGTCACCTTTGAGAGTGGATGGGGTGGGTGGCTGGGGAAGGCATCATGGGGTGGGGGCTGAGTGTGTGCCTTCTGTCTGCACCTTCTCAAAGCTTCCCAATTGGTTGGTGGCAGAGTCTCGGCTGGACCTGCAGGGGGGAGTCTTCCATGGGTTGGTGGCAAAACATGGTAGTTCAATGAGTATTCTCCAAGGATGGCGTGAGATGGCTCAGGCCTTCGGGGGACAGTGAAAACCATGAAAATCTGGACAAATTCTGGCCTCCTGTTATGATTTCTTTCAAGCAAGGCAAACACATAAAATTGCTGCCTGTCTTTAGAGGGGGTGCCCTTGGTACGGCCTGATTTTGGTCAGTACAGGTATGGCACAGTCATATACGTAGCACAAAGACGGGAAAATGGAAAACAATCCCCAAACAGTCGGATGTTCCTGTCATGTGTCAGTTTCAGAATCCACCATACCTCTGTGGTGTGCCCAACTCACCCAAGGGACATTGTCCTGCAATTGGTAGTGGGAAAAGCCCACATCTTACTTCCACTTCAGTCCTTAGGAAGGAGCTCAGGAGTCTGAGAGGAATGTTCAGGGATGTCCAGGCACAGAAAAGCCAGCAACGAGAGTGTCCTACCTGTCGCAGCACAGACCTTTGAAAAGAAGCTCAGAAGGAATGGAGGGGTAATGTCAGCCATGAGCCAGGGCAAGGAGTCCCCTTCCACACCCGTGGCCGCCGTGAAGCTGCAGTGTCAAGAGAGCACTGTGGTTCCGGTCACTCAGGCTGAGCTGCAATGGCAGTGCCGGGTTTGCCTGGCTTTGCCCAGGGCCCAGCCACAACCTTGTGCAAGGAGATGCCTGGTCTCTGCCTGTCATGGTTTCGATAGCCTGCCTTCCCCTCTGTGTCACTAGGAGTCCACCCCAAGTCTTCACT